TCATGAGGAAACCATTTCTAACAGCTAGTTGGTGACGATGAGCACTAGAGCCGTGCCTGAAATATGGAAATATACTTATTGTGTCTGCCGTTGCCATGGTGTTTTCGAGAGTTATCGCATAAACAAATATATTCACAAGCAACTTTAGTTAAATTTATTATTTAATGGAAATACTGCAATTTTTTTTTTTTTCAAAATTAGCAGAATATCAACATTGTTTTTTGCACACATTTGTAATAGAAAGGCAGCTAGTGTTGCTGGTGAAGATTCCCAGTCGTCCAGGTCATAGTCATTCCAAAAGAGCTAAAAAACAAACCACTTCTAATCCAGAAAACTTTTTCAATTCAAAATGTCTGGATTACACTGCAAAAACAATCCAGAAATAAGTAAAAAATGGCTTAAATTAAGTATATTTAGCCCTAATTTGAGCAGGTAAATAAGATGATTTGCCAATGGAATGAGTATTTTCACTCTTAAAATAAGATAGTTAGATAATATTTACTTGAAATAAGACGATAAAATAGTTTTTTCTTATTTTAAAAGGAAATTGTCTTGTTCCATTGGCAAAGTGTCTGTTTTACCTCCTCAAATCAAGGAAAAACACACTTATTTTAAGAAAAAATAACTTATTGAGGTTTATATTTTTTGCAGTGTAGGGTTGAGTTCTATTCTACAGAATAGCTTAACAAAATGGCTTCAATACAGTGCAATTAGCAAGTTTTCTAAGCCATAACAAGGCATTTGTTAGACTACTCTATAAAACTTGGAACACAACGCTAATTCAGACATTTTGATATTAAAAAGCTTCCCGGATGGGAAGCGAAATGTCTTCAAGCTTGAAAAACAAGGTCCAGTGGTTTGTTTTCTTTAACTTTTTTAAAACTTTTTAGGAAGCAGCTAGTGTTCTGAGTGTCCTGGGCTTAACAATTAAATAAAACCTCACTTTATTAACCTTGATGCTGGTCTGATTTCAAATTTTGGCCCTATATGAAAGCCACCTTTTCTTTCTAAAATAATAAAAAAAGATGTTTCAACTCCTTTAGTTACAGGTTTCCGATTCTTTTAGTCCTAGCTTTCTAAAGCAGTGCTCTACGGAGGCTGCTTTAGTGAAAGTCTACAATGCTTTTTTAATGGCTGCGGATGAACAGAAGTGTTCAGTGCTGGTTTATACATGCATATCTTTAAACCTTGTTAATATGGCTTTGACTCCAGCTGTCTTTAACTAATTGTTCTGAAAATCCGGATGCTGTAAACGTTCAGTTTTCTGTTGGTAGGATGGGATTTTTGCCAGTGAATAGTTCACCTATTGCTGCAGTTCGTAGGCTGTTTGTGACGCATAGATTCCAGTTGTGTATAAAGGACTTTTTTTGTCTAGCTATATATATTTTTTCTCTCTTCATTTTGCTATAGTATTTATTTTTATTTTATTACTGTTTTTATCTCCTGTTTCTTTGTCCTTGTTTCACTCATATAGCAGCTTGTTCTGCTGCTTTCCTCTGACCTAGAGAGCTGTTTAACCTTGAGGCTATCTGTTAAAGTGTCCTTTCAAACATCCCTGGTTTTTATTTTTTCATTTTTTAAATGCTGAATGCATAAATGCTCTCCTATCCTCTCAAATACATCTGAGTTCTCAAACGGGTGCACAGAAAGAAAATGTGCTCTGCACTGTAAGATTCGCAGATAAGCTTTCCTAGGAATCTTTCCATTCCCGCCTCTGAGTGTTTGGATGATTTTTGTGCTTCCAGTTAAAGCCTTGTGAGAAACATTGATTGTTGCTCGATGCATTACAGATAATGTGGAGATTAGCAATTTTGCTTTGAAACCAGTCATTTTTTCTTGAAATAAGTATATTTTCCCTTGATTTAAGCAGGTAAGCAGGACAATTTGCCGACAATAAGATGTTTATGCTCAAAATAAGTAAAAACAAATCCATTATCTTATTTCAAGTGCATAATATCTACTTCTCCTATGTTAAAAGTCAAAAATACACTCTCTTTTTCCATATAATCTTATTGACCTGCTTCAATCAAGCGCAAAGTTTTACTTTTTTTAGATTAGTTTTAGCAGTGTGACCTTTAGGTAGCAGTTAGTATCAGTTCTCTGATCTCCTGAGTATGGAGGACAAAAAAGGAGTTGCTCCTGTAATTGCTCTGTAGCCTGAAAATGCATTTTGGGCCAATCGAAAACAAACATCACCGATTGAGTGGAATGCACAGAAGTGAAGCTCTTTACTCAATAAAATGCTAGAGCTGGCGAAAGGTAGCAGTGTGCTTTTTTGTGTTTTGGGGGGGAAGTTGATCTGCAGCAAACAGAAGGATGGGTGTGATGCATTTCAGCACAGTTTTATCATTCCTGTTTCTCTGAAAACATATAAAAAAACGGACAAGGCTCTTTGTTGTTTTTATCAGTCAGTAAATAAATCAGCAAGTCTTTATTTTTAGAGCACAAGGGTAACACAAAGTTCTTTACAAAAGGAGACAATGGGAACAAACGATAACATTTCAGGAAAATACCGAGTTAAATCGGGATAAGCATGGGAGGGAGAGAAAAGGCAAAACAAAGTGTACAAAAACATGAAGTTGGTTAGTTGGAAACAGATGACATAACAGTTGAGAAGATGATGATGATGATGATGATGATGATGATGATGATGACGAGACACTTAAGTATTTCTTAGTCCTAACTGTGTGCAGAAGTTAGGTTCTCAAAACCCATGAAAAAATATGTAAAATTAGTGAATAACAAAATTCAATATGGATCAAGTAAAAATGTAAAACACACTTGTAAACATCATATTTGCACTACATGGCTGATTTTTTTTTTCTTCATAATCCCTTTAAGTAGAACACAACTCAATGTTTCTACTGCATTTTTCACCACATGTATTTATTTGGACTGCACTGAACCTTTCCATATCAATGCCTTTTGCACCATGACTTTAAACTGTTTTTCCTTTTCTCCTACACTGTTTATATTCTGACCACTGCTGCACTTTATAAGTGGTACTGTTCATTTCACTGTTGTAAGCTGCTCATTTACTGTTGAAAAGTATGCATTGAAATTTGGTTTTGTATACACTATTGGTATACAAAATGACAATAAAGTTTGTCTAAGTCTAAGAAGAAACTAGAGGCATAATGATCTATATATAAGTTGGCCATAAGTCAAAATCAATGGTCTCTGCTGCCTTCTGCTCTTCAGCATGACTGATCCACAGATCAGGACTGAAGCATGACATAGAGTGACTCATCCCTGGGGGATGTGGATGGCTTATACCACTAAACCATCCTCACTAAGACCAGTTTAAAAACAGCTAGTCATGAAACATTACAGGTAGCTCATGCAGATACCTTAGAATATGAGTAATATGAACTAGAGCTGTTAAAAATAAAAATCCTTTCTCCTTAATTCCTGAAGATCAATTCATATAACCAAAGATGGATAAAAAAAAGCATTTTTCATTGTCCTTATATACGACGGAGTATTAGGGCCAGGCTTTTTCCTTCTATTTCAAGAATAAAGTCATAACATTACGAGAATAATGTTGTAATATTAAGAGAATGAAGTCATCATACAACAACCTGTTTCAGAAAGAAAGCTTCGAGCTCCGACCAGCATATGACGACCGACCAGCTCCACCAAACAGCAGCCTGAGTCCACTTTGACCTACTGCCCAATTTGATGCTGCTGCTAAAAGATTTCCTTATTTGTCAAACCAGAGCCAAAGTTTAACTTCACATAATGAATGACATTCCTCATTTTAGGGAAGAAAATGCTTCTTGTAAGAGTTGTCATAAAATACAATTTGTTTCATGTAATCTAAGGACTTTATTCTCGTAATTATATGACTATTCTCGTTGCGACTTTATTCTCGTAATTTTACGACTTTATTCTCATAATTTATGACTATTCTCGTTGCGACTTTATTCTCGTATTTTTACGACTTTATTCTCATAATTTTATGAGTATTCTCGTTGCGACTTTATTCTCGTAATTTTACGACTTTTTTCTCATAATTTTATGACTATTCTAGTTGCGACTTTATTCTCGTAATTTTACGACTTTATTCTCATAATTTTATGACTATTCTCGTTGCGACTTTATTCTCGTAATGTTACGACTTTATTCTCATAATTTTATGACTATTGTTGTTGCGACTTTATTCTCATAATTTTACGACTTTATTCTCATAATTTTATGACTATTCTCGTTGCGACTTTATTCTCATAATTTTACGAATTTATTCTCATAATTTTATGACTTTTCTCATTGCGACTTTATCTCATAAAATTATGAGAATAAAGTTGTAAAATTACGAGAATAAAGTTGCAACGAGAATAGTCATAAAATTACGAGAATAAAGTCGTAAAATTATGACTATTCTCGTTGCGACTTTATTCTCGTAATCTTACGACTTTACTCTCAAAATAGAAGAAAAATAAAATCTCTAGCCTGGCCCTAATACTCCGTTGCACTTATATCCTCCATTAGCTACCTTTTACCTTTTTAATGTGCTGTTGAATCTTACTATAATACTAGTATCAGTTGGCTGCATAGCCACAAACTCAAGTAATTTAGGTTACAGCTAAAAAAAAAAAAAGGATTTGAATATCAGTTATCTATTTGAGATTTGTCCAGATCAGATGGAAAATGATTGATTCTTGATATTTCAATCCATGTCCAGCCTTTATATGAGCAGTTCTTCTTGTTAGCATTTGTGCAGTTTGTATCAGTTTGACATACACCAAGCAGACATATTTCATATGTTTCACTTTCCTAGATTATTTATATACTACCAAAAACCTTCCTTTTAGAATTAGAGAGGCCAACGTTTCTGCAGAAAGACATGTCATTCATTAATAACATTTTAAGTAAGCATAACAGCTGGATAAAGTACTTCATGCTGTAATGACAAACATCCATGTAAATCGAACTAAATGACTCAGTAACTAAGTGCTTTTTGTTTTTTTGTTCTCTTTTTTGATTTGTGCCTCTTCTAGCCACATGAGTTTGATGAGTGCCGGCTGGATATCAGCGTAAACGACAGCGTGTGGTACCTGCGTGCCCAAGACCCAGAGCGCAGAAACAGATGGATCGAGTTCATCGAGCTGCACAGGGTGAGTCCCGCACAGCAGATGATGGTCTGAAAAGACACCAGAACCCAGTCACGTTCAGAGCTAATCAGTATCCTCTCAACCATGTTTGGATTCATAAATGTGGTGTTCATCGTGTGGTGTGTGTGTGTTTCTGTTAGAGTATCAGAGAAGGGAGGAGACAGAAGGGAGGAATCCAGGGAGCAGTAATCATCCCTCCATCACTGGTTTGTTTGTCGGGGGGTTCTCTAGGAGTCTTAAGCACCAAACACTTAGAGCATGTTTTCCTAATAACAAAGCAGCAAGTGCATATGCATGTGTTAGGATTGACCAGGTGAACCCTGCAGTTTGGACTGGAACAGACTGAAACCCACAATCAGCATGATTTTACACATTAATGCTCTGAAGGATCATTGTTAGTGTGAAAGATGAAAAGCTTGTAAAGAACAAAGGGAGGGAGGAGCCATTTCTGGTTCCTATTGTGGAAAAACTACTGTCAAAAACCCAAAAACAAACCTTTTTATAATAACTAAAATATTCTATCTTTATCTTTTCTGACACCTACCTAAGTATTCATTCAGTTGTGTGAAAGGAAAGCAAATGGTTTAAAGCAGTTTTTTGAAAATATGAAAAAAGAGTCATTACAACAGTTACAGAAGAAAGTCTTTCGGGGTTTGTCTCTACCAGCTTTGCACATCTTTGTGAAAAGATCCGAGCTCAGTCAGATCTGTCTGCAAGCATCAGTGGACATTAATGTTCAGTTCATGGATCCTCAAAGGGATTCTGGATTTTCTCCTTCTAATACATGGACATGTGTTCATCTGAACCGCTTTATCACAACTTTGACTGTAGAATATAAGACTTTTGCCTCCTCCAGTGTTTTCTCTATGGAGTGAATTTTGTTCCATTATTTTTGCCTGTAAAGATATTTTCTTCTTAATAAAAAAAGTTTTTAGAGTAACTTGCCGTTTTGCAAATTGTCCTTTATATGCACGTTTATATATTTTTTTTATGTTTTATATTTTCAATTCTTTTTCTTTTTAAGATCGAGTTATAGGTGTTCGAGGTATTCTTTTCACATAAGCATTTTCCAGATCACATTCTCTTCGCTTTTGGGGGCGGACTTTCCCCTGGAATCAGGAGTGAAGACGCATTTCTATTGGTCAAGAGCAAGCGTTGGTATCAGGGTTGAAGTGAAAAGAATGTGCTTCTGAAAACTCAATCAGAAAGAAAAAATAGAAAAAAAAATTGTGAAAATATAAAATAAAAACAATTACAATAAAAAAAAATCTTTGAAAAAATAAAAGCCAAGATAACATTGTAGTTACTCTAAATGCGTTTTTGGATTAAGAATTATTTCAAAATTAAGTTTCTGGATTGCATCTTTTTTTTTTCTATTTACAGAACATGTTCTTTGCTTGCAACAATAATGGTACAAAATACACCCCATAGATCTCCTGAATTCCCTGTTTTTAGCTCCATCTATCGTCCCATTAACACCAGCCAGCTTAGTTGATGAGCAGCGTTTAGTTTAATCTGACCTACATGTGTTTCCTAACACGTTTATTTTAACTTGGATGGTATCAGATTGAAGATGGGAGCTTTCTTGACTCTCTTTCAACAGTATTCTTATTTTCTCTCCTTTTCTAAGAGCTAAATTAGTGTCCTGAACTGACAGCTGTTCTCTTAAAATCTTTAATTGTCAAATCATTGTGGTTTAAACATGTATATAAATGTAATATTTATCAGATGATATTGTCCCAAAATTTAGAACATTTCTATTTAAAAAAAGAAATCCTATCTTAAAATCTTTGTTGTTTTTTTAATCTTATGCAGGCCAGTTAGTTATACATCAGCCTGACCACCTAAATTCGGCCAATCATATATCATCATATATCATCATATATCTTTCAATCAAATTTTTTCGGTCATATCATCGTGATTCATACGTTGCAGCTAATATACGCAACGATTGAAATAAGAATCATTTATTCTTTATTACTTTCCCATTGAGTTCCGTCCCAGTGTTCACGGGGATGGACGTCTGTGTCTTCAGCAGGCGTAGAGCTAACAGAACTGGCAGCGTTGCGAGGCAAGGGCTCAAACATGTACGGCTGGAAGCCTTCTACACCAAACCAAGCTTCTGCCGCCCTGGCGTCCTCTTCCACAACATCTTCATCCCCGTTTTCCTCCACTAAATAAAACGGAGGAGACTCATCCAGAACCTCCGACACAGAACTCTCCTCCTCTTGCATGTTTCCTCTGTCTGTAGCGTTCCTTGACAGTGTCGTTTCTAAGTCACCAATTTCCCTACTACTTTGACAAATTCTCCCAGCTGATTCTTAGATCTCTGCCGCTCTCTCTCAGACCTGCCATTGGCCTTTTGCTGTTAGTTTCCCTAACGACTTTTTTGTTCAGGCTTTGGGGATCGTGTGATCAGTGTGACGTGAAGTTTTAGTTACTAAAACTTCTCAACAGAGCACATTTTCCCCCATTTATTTTGTCCCCTGCTCTTCCAGGATTCGTTTTCTTTTCACTAACTCTTCCATAAAGGTGACATGTTTCTAAAGCATCAGTGGTTGTGTTGGCATCTTCTTCCACCTGAGCTCTGGAACCCTGCAGCTGCTCCTCCGTTATAAAGACCTCTAGGCTGTTTATCTTGGCATGTATTCACACTGCTGTTCCTGGAACAGTTAGGTCTTCCATCCTATTAATGCTCTCCTTGCTTGGTTTGTCGTTCGACATGGATGGATGGGTATTTAGTCCATTTTCTTTCCCCATTTGGATGAGAGATTCATAAACAGCGTGATTTGTAGATCTTTATTTGTTGAAAATCAATTATTATAACACAATTAAACTGCTCGAAAGGAATGTCTTTCAGGCACTGCTCATTATTTCGTACCAACAATCCAAACATTAGTGGAAATCATGCAGCTCAGATACGGTCCTTGGTTTGGGGAAATCCCTTTCTAGCAGCAGTGACTCATCAGTGGCAGAGAATCCTCTGCACATTCATTTCAGCCATCATGAGTCACCACTGAAAACTCTTCTCTCCAGCGAGACCCTTTTCACTTTTCAGCCACCATTACTCACAGGAGCCAGGGTCGCCAGGGAGACACAAAACACTTGATCTGTCACAACAAAACATCAGAAAGACCTGCTACATCTAAACAGGAAATAATACTTGTTCCCTAGAGACAAGAATAATCAGATCAGCATTTAATTATAGATCTGTTATGAAATACCTGAAAATTATATTTTGCAGAAAATTCATTCCTTTATATTTCCTTTTTTATGATAATCATGTTTTTGATTAGTTATAAAGAGCATATTTCTATATTCCTTATATAGGCCTGATTTAAAAAAAATATATCATTATCTTATCTTTTAAAGGTTATCATTATCTAAAATGTGATTGTTCTTTTAAAACGTTCATAATTTGTGTTAAAAATGCGTCTAATGCATGTTTGCATGTGTTACTGCAGTTTGATGCGCATGTGATGAATGTTATTTTTAGTCATGCATTGTTTATTTTCTATTTTTCATGTTAAATAGTTGAGGGATTCTCCATGCATGCAGTTAATCAGCTTCTGGGTAGTGGCAGATTAGGCCGAGCGGCTCTGACTGACATCCATGTGAGCACAGGCAGTGTTACGTTTGGTCATTGACCGATAGTTACCTCTGTCTGCTTTCAATCCCAGTCTGGCGTGTTTTCATATTATGCCCCCTGGTGGCAGAAGTTGTAAAGGTCTCTCTAAGAGGCTGTGTGTAGCTGAGCCTTTCCTCTCTGTCAGAGGGCTGCTGATGTGAAAGCCTGGCTCTTATATAACAGGGAGGCTAATTGCAGGGCTTTACAGGGAAGCTGGAGCAGTTGTTCACCTGTGATCAGGGATTATTTTATGCGATATCTTTGATTAGCCTTGTCTCTTTTTTTGGTAACAATTTAATAGTTAATTCTATATTTTTGTTTTCTAAAAGGAAATTAATTTAGAAATGTGGTTTAAATCTGTTACCTGAACAATGGTCTCTTAAAATACTGGAGACGTAAACGTCTTTACTTAAATTTGAGCTATAAAAATGTGAATTTAAATGATATAATCTGAATTTCTTTGTTTCCATGTTCATCATTTCCATGTTTGACGCCCGTCTGCCTTTCCTCAGGCTGATTCCGGATACGGCTCAGAGTCCAGTTTGCCGAGACATGGCTCCATGCTTTCTCTCACTTCAGCTGCTAGTGGCTACTCTGCCACCTCCACGTCTTCCTTCAAGGTGAGTAACTCTGTTCTGAGGCCAGTAACAGGCCTCCAGCTTGTTACATGCTCTACCAGAGCTTATTTCCTTTCTATCACAGCTGAGGTCATTTTCTTCTAGCAGCCCTGTCTTGGGGCTTCTTGCTGCTTGTTCTATAGCTGCTTTGTGATTGGTCAGGATTTGGAATGGATGTTGTTGGAGAGAAAGAGCTGAGATGACCCCCCTTCCATTTCAGTTGCAGAGCTCTTTACAGTGAATTAATCTGTGCCCAACTAATGAAAAACTCAAAATCAAACGTCTTCCCAGTAATTGCATGAATCATTGTGACCCTAACTAGTTTACTATCAGAATAGATGACACAGCGTGAAGTTTGGAAAGGGGTCATTCTGTGTGCATCCCCACTATTTGCAGACTCTTTAGAAAAACTGAGCTAGTTTATTCCTCCACTCAAACTGAAAAGCCTGTATAGAGCTACAAAAAGAATGAACAAATAACCTCTGGCTTTTCTCCCTTTTAACCTTTCAGAAGGGTCACAGTCTACGGGAGAAGCTGGCGGAGATGGAGACGTTCCGAGACATCTTGTGCAGACAGGTGGACACGCTTCAGAAGTACTTTGATAGCTGTGCTGATGTTTCCAAGGATGAGCTGCAGAGAGACAAAAGTAAGTAGAAAGAGTATTCTTCTCCTAGCATTTAAATGTTCATAGCAGAATTCAGTGGCGCTCAGTCAGTAAGGTAGACTCCTGCACTAAACCTACACTTTTACACTTTTTTTTTTTTATAAAAGGTTGGAAAGTATTAGTCTACATTTCTTTTGTAATTTTTTTTTCCTAAACCTTTACTCTTTTATTTTCAAAAATATCTATGTTCAAATGCTATTATGTTTTTTTTTCTTCAGTTAAATCAAGTTTAACTTGAGATTCCAAATTATTTTAAATCTGCTAAAAAAAATGTTTGATTTTAAAACAACAATGATAAAGATAAACCGATGCATTGGTTTATGTTCTTAAAAAAAACCTTTTCAAATTGTTTTCAACGTTTTTTTGCAGATTTTTTTTTTTTTTTTTCCTTTTACAGATTGAGTTTTATGAATTACATTCTTTTCAAATTGTGTTCTTTATGAATTCACTTCTGGAGGCGGGCCTGAAGATGAATCTCTATTGGCCTGCTGGATGTTAGCAACATTTTTATTGGTCAACAGCGAGCGTTCGTATCGGGCTTGAAGTGAAGAGAATATAATCTGTGAAAACTCCATCTGAAAAACAGACATTTGAAGGAACAAAAATGTAAATATAAAATCATTAAAAAATGGAAAACTACAGAATAAATGTGAAATATAAAATCTCTAAGGATATGTTTTAAAAAAATGAAATAAAAAAAATAAATATGAAAAATATATTGGAAACAGACAATTATTCCAAATAAGAAAATCTCAAAAAACAAAGTTAAATTAAGATGTTTTTTTAGAATTTCTAGATTGCTTTTTCTTTTTATTATCAAATTTCAATTAAAAAAAAAAAAAAAAAATGTTTCATTTTTGTTTATAAAATAGGTTCATTGCTTGCATCAATAATCCATTGTTAATGTTTTAATTGACTTGTAATTAAATGTTCCTTTTTATATGAATATAGGCTTCTGTTTAGATATTTGTTATTAAAATTGTGATGGTTTTATTTTTATTATGTAAATGGAGGAAAAGTAAGCAACATAAACCTATAGAATACGCTCTTAAAAATATTGGCAGCACATATCGGGAATCGGTTAGACCGATGTCCAAACATTCGTTATCAGTGTCAGCTTTCAAACATCTGCATCGGACTATCTAATAATAATAGAAGTATTGATAACAGCAAATATTTTAACAGAATCTTTCTCCATTATCTATTAACTGTTTGTTGACTGTTAGATGAAAACTAGACGATAATCTAAGAGTTTGTTGGCTAAACTTTTAATTGAACATGTTTTCTCAAGTTTCTTCTAATAAAGTCCAGAAGTCAAGGTGAAGAGTTGTTGTTCCTTAGCTTTAGAACCTGTGAAGGTTCATTATTTACAGGAAGCAAACATGCGATAAATCTTGTAAAGACTGTTGTGTGACTCAGACAGCAGTGATACCAGAAACCTCCTTTCTGCATCTTGGCTGGCTTTGCACTTGGAGCAACACAATGAATGAAACCCTGCTTTTGTTCTGCTGACCTCCCTCCCTGTCTTCCTTCTCCAACTCGCTGCACTCTGAGGATGAAACCAGACCATTGTCATGTTGGGATCTGTTGATCTTCTGTGCTCCTCAGTCTCTAGGCGGGACCCTGTCTAGAGACGCTGACCTTAAGGAAGCTTTTAAAAGAAAGACTTCAATGTAGTAATTACACCTTTTGGTGGTTTTTACCTCCACGCTGAACCCTTCGTTCTTTTTTTTCAGTTGTAGAAGACGATGAAGACGACTTTCCCAACACCCGCACAGACGGAGAGTTTCTACACAACAACAACGGAAGCAAAGAGAAATGTGAGTAAATCCTCTGCATCACTGTTTTATTCAGTTGTTCTGTTTTAATGACAGATTAAACATAAAAGCACAGTTAGAAGGCTGTTATTTTACTGTTTTAGTTTGACCAAAGGTGGACGTGTGGAGCTACCTATAGCTTAGCCTCTTCAGAGTCTTGGAGTTGAGTTAAACCGCTCAGTGTGGGTGAAATAAATCCAGTTTTCATGGAGTAAATTGATCCAAGCCTCAGATTTAAGCAGATTCTGTCTGAATTAATGTTTTTACTCTGTTTCAAACAGCTGTTTACTTTGCCTCTAACTTCTGTGGTTGCTGGTCAGTATGCTCCTGTGAGTCTGCAGGTTTATTCCCAAACAATTGAATCATCAGGACAGCTGCTTTTTACAGGACTAACTTGGCAGCTAGCCAAACAGTCAAAGAGAGACTTTCACTCTGAGTCGACATCTTAAAGGGACAGTGTGTCAGATTTACCTCCATCTAGTGGTCTCTGATATGAATTACAAACAATGGACTGGTGCTTCCCTCTTTAAAAGTGAGAGACAGACTTGGGAGGCCTTGGAGTGACATTTGACATTTCTTCCAAATCACTCAAGATTAAGGGTAAAAATGAAACATTTCTATGAAAACAGGACTGAAGGAATCCAAGGCTCCTTATATGACGTGTGAAAATAACAGCAGCAGATGACCGCTGCATTAGAGCTCATCCAGCGTAGGCTAACAAACGAACTTGCTGTCTGTGCCGGGCCTGCTGGGTTTCACTGCCCTGCTTCTAACATAACACCAACATAAATTAATGTACCCTACCCTTCAGCAGAAAGACTGAACTCTGTGCCTGGTAAAAGCCACGCCCATTTAGACTCGTTTTCTCTTGGTTATTACTTCTAGATGTTTTGGTTTCTTTCTTATGCCTCAGAGTGTACAGATGGTTCCCTGTTGCAACAGAGAGTAGAAGAAAGAATAGTCCGTGCTTGTTTTTCTTGTTTTAAACTCCTTTGCCAACAACAACCGATTTAAAATACAAGTTTGTTCCATTCAAGTGATGTGATGGAAGTGGAGATGCAACATGGCGTCTGCCACTGGCTGCACCGCCCCCTATGTATGTTTTTATAAACTGAGTCTAATTTTTGGGTGGGAGGTTTCCGAAAAAAGTCATGTGATCTTTAGTTGTCATTTAGTATAGTAGCAGTTCATTTGGCTATGATTTCTTAACCTTTAATCATCATTATGTCCAATATGGCAGCTATTTACACTGAACTTTTTGGTTTCTCTTTAGCTTTGGATGCTTGATTATAATTATTCTGACCACAAATCTGGTCTTTGTTATCCATAGCATTTATTGTCTTCTTTTCTATTCTTTTTCTTCAGTATTCCAGTCCTTGAATACAAAGGGAATCAATGGAATAGACTTTAAGGGAGAGGCCATCACATTCAAGGCCACCACAGCTGGGATCTTAGCCACCCTGTCCCACTGCATCGATCTGATGGTGAAGAGAGAGGACAGCTGGCAGAAGAGACTGGACAAGGTCTGGGAGATCTGGACTGCTGTTTAGCTCTAAATTAACCATCTTTCCAAGCTTGTTTACTGAAACTGTGGTTTCATTTCCATGTAGGAAATGGAAAAGAGACGAAGGATAGAGGAAAGCTATAAATCAGCCCTCAATGACTTGAAGAAGAAGTCTCACTTTGGGGGTCCCGATTATGAGGTAAATTCCTCCGTTATGCATAGAAACCATCATGATGATGAACGAGTTAATGCTTGTCTCTTTTATAGGAAGGTCCAAACAGTCTGATCAACGAGGACGAGTTCTTCGATGCGGTGGAAGCTGCTCTGGACAGACAGGATAAAATTGAAGAGCAGGTGATGCTGACGCTTTTCCTATCAGCTCAGGCTGCACTTCCTGTTCCCGCAATGATTCCAACTCCACGTCCCAATGCTGTTTTTTTTTATTTAGTCTCAGGCTGAGAAGACGAGGATAGAGCGATCCAGCCCTCCTCCCCCCGGAGACGTCTACTCCACCTCCGGTTCCCACAGATTCTCCGATAAGGTTGGAGTTCCGCCATCTTTCTGTCTCCCATTTCTCTCCTTGTTGATCTTTCCATCATAGTCGATAGATTCCAATTGTTGCATCATCTGCCGTTTGTCGAAACCTGTCCTGTTTTGAAACACAGAATCACTTTCTGAATCTCAGTCCAACTAAATGCAATGTTTTTATTGTGCATGTAATACTTATATGGTAATTACGGAAGAGGATTAGGGCCAGTGGGAAAAAAAAAAGAGTCCCTGATTTTTACATTTTATTTCAGTTTAACATGGGAAAAAGTCAGAATTCTGACTTTTTTCTCAGAATTCTGACTTTTTTCTCAGAATTCTGACTTTTTTTATTGTCAGGATTCTGAGAAAAATGTCAGAATTCTGACTTTTTCTCATGTTAAACTGAAATAAAATTTAAAAATCAGTAACAGTGGCCCTAATCCTCTTCCGTAGGTAATTGGAAAGAAAAATGTTACAAAACGTTTCATGACCCCAAAAACGATTCGCTTTTTTGTTCAGTATTTACTATTTTAGTATTCATCTGTCATCTACTTTAGTTTATAAGATACAGCTTTGCAAATCTCTACATATCTTTAGTAATAATTTAGTTAAACAATGTCAAACTGATTTTAACAGAACCAGAAAAGAAATCAAGTAAAAGTTTTGTTTATAGAATGAAAATGGAGAAGTTATGAAACATCAATATCTAACTGCAAAAAAAAAAAAAAAAAAAATGAAAAAGATTTTGCTTTTAAAGGATATGACATTATAAAAAGTACGTTTGTTGATGCAATCAACAAATTTTGTTGAGCAAAATGTTTAATAACATGATCTTTTGATGAGGTTATATTACTTTAGATGTAAAAAAAAATGGATTTATTGTTGTTTGGCTTTTTAGATAAGCCTGTTTTGGTTTCTACTGCACACTTTCACATCGGCTTATTTTCTTACAACGTAATCTTTTGTTTTAATTGTAACTAACAGCTTTAAAGTGTAACAAGTAATTTATTTTGTTACCCATAAATAAAAGCAGTCTGTAACTCCTTTGATCTGAAAAGTAAACACTAGCCTGGTGTTGTAGGTGGAGGAGATGGTGCAGAACCACATGACGTACTCGCTGCAGGATGTCGGTGGAGATGCTAATTGGCAGCTGGTGGTAGAAGAGGGAGAAATGAAGGTAAGAGCTGAGATAAAGAAAATATTTGCTTTTTTTATGGATAGCTTCTACATTTCCATGTAGTCAAATCAAAGTTTGGTCGAAGGGTTAAAACGGTTTCCAATTCCACAGGTTTACCGGAGAGAGGTGGAGGAAAACGGGATCGTATTGGATCCATTAAAGGCCACCCACTCAGTGAAGGGGGTCACAGGCCATGAAGTCTGCCACTACTTTTGGGACACAACGTACCGCAACGACTGGGAAAGTAGGTGTTTGAATGAAGCCCATGATCAGGCAGCCGCTTCCTGGATCCCAATAACGATCGTTTTCTTCTTCTTCTGCAGCTACTATTGAAAACTTTAATGTTGTGGAGAGACTTTCAGACAACGCAGCAATCATCTACCAAGCACACAAGGTAAGAGCCGGAGGTGACTCCTGTAGGGACCTGCAGCTGGTAGACAAACGGCATCCTGAATGGATCTGTGTTTCAGCGGGTGTGGCCTGCGTCTCAGAGGGATGTGCTCTACCTTTCTGCCATGAGGAAGATTTTGGCCAACAACGAGAACGATCCCGACACCTGGCTGGTGTGTAACTTCTCTGTGGATCACGATGAAGCGCAGGTGAGAACTCAGATCCTCTGTTTTTAAAAAAAATCTACCTGTTTGTTCTTCCTGTAACCCTATTGTTTGTTTTTTTACTCAGACAAGCAGCAGATGCGTGCGCGCCAAAATCAACATCGCCATGATCTGTCAGACCCTGGTCAGTCCACCAGAGGGAGACAAAGAGATCAGCAGGGACAACATCCTGTGTAAAATCACCTATGTTGCCAACGGTGTGTGCTCATAGTTTGTTTGCTTTCTCTATAAACAGCTATATTTTTAAATGTGCAAAATAGAACAATAAAATAAGGGGGAAAAAACACAATTTATTAAATACATTTTAAGTTAAATATGTAACTAATATTTCTTTAGCTTAAAAAAAGTTATTGATTTATTTAGTGCCTGTACTGGTTGGGAATTAATTTCATTTGTCTCACCCATCAAAGTCATCAAGCTTAATGAATGCTGTTCTAACCGAGATAATTAGTGCAAAGTAGATGTTGGAGCGTTAGTTAGGCCTGCTAACAGCAGAAAGCTGACATAGGAAATAAAAAAATGCCAATTCAATTCCCTTTATTTATCTATCCCCAATGGGCTCTATGCACAGCTCCACTACTTCCTGAATTTAAAGCAGCTCCTTTGTTTCCTGTCTTTCATTACTGGACGAACTGATTAATCCAGGTGTGTCTGGCCAGTTACTTAGGTCATACACACCTGGATTAATCAGTGCATCCAATCATGAAAGACAGGAAACAAAGGGGCTGCTTTAAATTCAGGAAGTAGTGGAGCTGTGCATAGAGCCTATTCACAACACATGTCATCTCACGGCACTTTACAGTTCGCCATATCATACTCAAAGTTTTCTATCTAAGGAAAAGCAGTTGGTGGCATCGACTCATTGACTCGAAGGCAATCCCTCACACTAAGCATGCTTGTAGCGACAGTGGAGAGGAAAAACTCCCTTTTAACTGGTAGAAACCTCCAGCAGAACCAGGCTCAGTGTGAGCGGCCATCTGCTGAGGCCGACTGGGGTTCAAGGAGACAGAAGCAGAGACACAAAAAGCAGCTGTAAAAGGCAGAAACACACAGCCAGGCAGACGAGCTCCGAGCCAACTCCCACATCAGCGGACGAAGAGAGCACCTCCAGTTAATCACAGTCAGAGAAACAGGGCTACACTGGAAAACAGGCCGATCTCCAACATTTATAAACAAATGTGTTGATGGTTGATGAAGAAATCATAAATAAATGCAACATTGAGCCTTTCCTTATTTAATGTCATTCATTTTAATTTCTAAGCTTTAATATGTTTCTTCTGTACCTCATACTTTTCATTCATTATTATATTTAATGCTCAATATAATGAGGTAAACAAATTTAACAGTAATAAATCAGTAGGTGACACCAGAATGTAAACAGACCCTCCATACTGTAAGCTTCTAGGACGTAATCAAATGTTTAGAAAAGATAGTTGTTTAGCTAAGCTAACAAATACATACTTTAAAAATAAAACAAAATGTGTAAACAGCAAACCTATGGAAGATGGATGATAAATCAGCCCGTAATTAGAAAATAGACCGATTTGTTCCTAAATCTGTTTGTTTGGTCTTTGTTTTCAGACATAGTTTAGATGTTAATGTTTGTCGTGTGTTTGCAGTGAATCCAGGGGGCTGGGCTCCTGCCTCCGTGCTCAGGGCCGTAGCTAAGAGGGAGTACCCCAAGTTCCTCAAGCGCTTCACCACCTACGTGCAAGAAAAAACTACTGGCAAGCCCATTTTATTCTGAGACCCACAGGTAGGGAGAGTTTCCCTCTGTCAGAAAATGTTTGGTCAAATACGCACTGAAGAATAAATCAATCAATCAGTGCTCTGTTTGTTTTTAAGGGAAGACTTCTAAGGCCTGATCTGCATCAGAAGGTGGGAAGGACGCTCAATCTGCAAAACAACAATCCCTCTGATTAAAGATTCAAACCCCTGTTTGAGGCTAAAATGTAGTGTGTGTTTGTGTGTGTGTGTGCATGTAAAACCAAATGACAAATGGTTAGACGTTTAAATGAGCAGTAAATCCCCCAGATATGGTCATGTATGTTCCTCCACATCAGGAAGCTAACTGAACCGAAGTGGAGGGGAAATTTGGCCTCAAAAGACGAACGGCACTAATTCCAGGGTGGATGTTCATAAGAATGATTTAAACATAAAATTATAAAAAAGAAAACCAGAGAATTTTAAGAGATTTGAGGATTACATGTTAAAAAAAATGTTTGCAGAGAAGACTCCTCCCCCATCAGGGGGGGAATGGTCTTCCTGCCTTTTTCTTTAGGGCAGATATATTTAAATGTATAGAAAGTCTGTAAGAAGTTTGTAAAAAAAAAAGAAAAATTAAAATCTTAGCTTTTAGATCGAAGTAACTATTTTTGTGCGGATAAATTCATATTTTTAGGTTGCGCGCTCTATATGAAGAAACGAAAGGAGACGGTTTTCATGTGGTCTCCAGAGGGCCGTCCGTTCCACACGCAGCCCTGTGGCAAAAGCTTTAGTTTCTCTGGTGAAACCACCGACACACTGGTGCTTGAAGGAGGAACGACATATTAGCTGGCTGCAGAATTAGCGAGAGCGTCATCCACCATGCTTCTATCTTAAATGTCGCGTTAATTGTAAATAGTTTTTTCCTGAAGATTTGAGCTGACGGTTTGCAAAGCTTTGACCTGAGCCCAGATGCCTTAGCGTTACAGAGAAATGTAGCTTCAGACGGGGGTAAACGTTGCTCTTAGAGAAGTGCCTCTTGGCTGCATTCGACCCACATTTCATCTTTCAGTATTTTGAATAAACGAACCCATTGAGGAGTGTTTTCTTTTTTCAAAGCTCTATAAATGATGCGTCAGAGTCACTTTAGTTGATCCACTGCCTGCTCCTGTTAGTATTCCGGTTTTTTTTCACACAAAGGTCTGCACCGACATCTGCTGGACCAAAAGTATTTGAATAGGTTCTTTCTAGAAGTGTTGAAGGTTGTTCTAGAGTTGGTTTTTCTTCAGTAGCATTTTTTTCTTTGGAAGAATGTAAAGATAACAGATTTCTGTTTACATTACTGATTTTTAACCATCACCTTCATGTATTTTGTAAAGCCTCTCTTCTATCACATCCTCAGCTGTTCCGCTACCTTTTAAATGTTTTTAGGGCTTCGTCGGCCGTTTATTCTTCAGCTTTTGAGTTCAGACGTTCCTGCTGAACGAAGCGATTGAGAAGTTCGGCCTTGCTGCTTTTAGGCTTAAGATCTGTTTTTCTTAAAAGCAAATCTTTTTTGCATAAGCTAAGTTTTTTTTTGTGTTTTGTTCAAACTGAATGTACTTGGACTTTTTGTAAAGTTGTTCATACTAACGCTTTGAGATCTACCTGTAAATGTACTGTGATGTGGCATCTCTTCAGCCCTGTTTTGAAAGTGAAATAAATAAGTTTATCCCCTATTTTCTTTCCAAATTTTGACTCATTTATTTACAGTTCTGCATAAAAATAAAGAGTTACCCAAAACCATTAATCATGTTTATTTCCAAATCATTTCATAGTAGGTCTAGTAGATTAACAGCAAACCAACAGTCTTGCTTGATCTATGTAACTTAATAATTTTAAAGCTGTGTGTTCGAAAATAACTGCAGCGGAAAGTCAAATCAGCGAGGTTATCCATCCTGTCATCAAACAGGAAATGAACTGTAGGAAATGTAAGCAGAAGGCACAAAGATAAAAACTGATAATTCCCTTTTATACTGGTTTAAAATCCTTCAGAAACAGAAACATAGTGTCAGAGGTTTTATTTATCCCAGTAGGCCTGTTTAAAGCAGTATATATTTTCTTGGAACTCAAATACAGTTTATGGTGAAGCAGGCTAGGTTACTTTACATTAGTTTCTGAGGCAGACACCCTGGACACTTTCAATGCAGGTTTAAAACTAACATATTTGATTAAGCTCATGGTTAGAGAGGCTTAAATTATCCTGCACTATAGTTATGCTGCTATAGGCTTAGACTGCTGGAGGACATGCGGTTCACTTTACTTTTTCTGCAGGGTTAGTTCAGAGACTAACTTTATGTTCTCTCTGCTTTTTCTCTGGTTGTGTTTAGCTGTGATCGTAGAGGGAATTATCAGCTGGGCTGTTGTCATTAACACCTACAGTTATAGAATAGGGCCTGTTTATTTGTGTTTAGTCCTGTTTCTCTCCTAGACAAGCTCTGAGTTCAGCTTGTACTCTTAATAACTATGTGCTCTTTCATCCCTTTGACATGAAAACTGACTCAGAGCCCATCTGCTTCTTTTCTAGACGGACTTTACCTGTAGAGCTATTAGCTATTACCTTTTCTAACAAAGCTTTTATGGATCAGTGCTTCTCTCTCCTTGAACCTCACTGGGCCTCGGCAGTAAACCGCTCACAGAGCCTGGTTCTGCTGGAGGTTTCTTCCTGTCGCTACACACATGCTCAGTGTAAGGAGTTGCTGAGACAAAATAGAAGCGAATAAACTCGACTGGTTTTCCTTAGAAAACTTTGGAACACATCTGACTGTATGATCTGATATTGACATGTGAATTGGCGCTATATAAATAAACTGAATTCTATTACTAATTACTGAGAAAATGATCTTCAAATGGGTGTGTCAACAACAAAATAATAAAAAAAAACTGAACAGCATCTACTGAGCTGGAGCTACAAATCAAACCTCAAACAGGTAACCAAAAAAAGGTGAGAGGGACAACCCTCTCAGGGACACTCACCAAGAACTGCAGAGGAAGAAGGAAAACCGGTCCAATCATTACAGCTAACAAGCATCAGCTTTAAAACTTAATACTGGCTCAATGGTTCCAACTTTTTAAACCATTCAGTTTAAACATGTTTACCTCCTAAAGAATGTAGGAAATATTCTAAACATCCTAATCCTTTAATTCTCTCTAGATTAAATAATTCTGACTAATTTCCATGTTTAGATGTGTACAACATGCAGACATTAAATCTAAACTGATAAAGATGAGCTTTAGTCACTAAAACATAAAAACAATGAAAAGATGAGCACACAAAGTAGAAAGGTAGTGTTTATTTTGATGACTAGATTACACGTGTAAGAGATTTCTCTGAATTGGATATTCTACCTAAAGCACGGTCAAGTTCCACTTGTAATACATAAGGCAACTTCTGAGGATGACGATAGAACCGGATCTATTAATCACTGAGACACTACAGCCATTCTGTAACATTCACCGCCCCAAGAAATCTAATACTCAGAAAACACTAAAAAATAAATATAGTTTGCCTCCAAACAGACCCACCAGTAACAGCTAGTTAGTGGATCAGGGTGAGAACCAAACATGGCTGCTACTCGGTATACACAGTATACAGCAGCGCTTTAATCAGGCAGAGAAACACTGACGGTAAAACAGACATTCAGGGTTTTAAATAGACACAAATCACCTCACATCAGCAGGGATGTTTCCAAAAAGCTTTTTTTTGGGAGATAAACTCAGACTGATTTGACGTTTACAAACCGTGCTGATAATTACCCAGAAGTCATTGTTTGGCCTTTATCAAGAGGCACCAGAATCATTTTCATCAGTTCAAACATTTCAGAGATTCAGTCTGTTGATTGATTGATCCGGCTAAATATGGCAGATGTAGATAAATGGCACATTAGTAACGGTAACAGAAATTTGCAGTCAGGTGGGCGGAGCTCGAAGCAGGACGATGACGGCCGTGTTTTCAGCGGCTTAATGACCTCCAATCAAAAGCTTCAGCGTTTGGGGACCGTCGTTTCAGGCTTTGGAAAAGCCATCTCTGATAGGTTGGTTTTAGATCTAATGGGGAGAAACATGACGTCAGAAAGGAGTGGAAAAAGGAATTAACTTGCAACAAAAAGTAAATAAACCGACCTGTTGTGAGTCATGTGACTTTTGACGAGATGTCCGGCGGCCAGAGCGGCCATCAGAGAGAGCTCCCCCGCCAGGACGGTGGCGCAGACGACACGCGCCAGCTGGCAGGCGTTCTCACCCGGCTGCTTGGGGCTCGTAACGCCGAGCATCTGCAGAGATTTTTAGGTGATGTCACAGCAGGAGGGAAAACAAAGCTTTGATGTTGGAAGATTACAGCTTCCTCTGGTTTTCAGCGAGTAAAGGCAGACATACCTGCAGACAGGCCTGCTGCGGCGGCAGGATGGTGCCTCCTCCCACGGTGCCCAGCTCTATGGAGGGCATGGTGCAGCTGATGTACAGGTCCTCGCCACTCGGACCGGCGGCCTCCATCTGAGTGATACAGCTGGAGCTTCCCACAGTCTGAGCTGGATCCTGGAGCACAGCAGCGGGTAACCATGGTGATTTACAAACCAAAGTAGGGTGGAATGATTCTACAGAATATATATATTATCTAAAATATTATGATTCCCGTAGACATTTCACTCCAGGTGACATTTAAACAGGGATGTGCATTTAACGTTTATCGTGATACAGATCTCGCCATAGGAATGTATATTTATCATCCAAATTAAAAAATAAATAAATAAAGGTTTATAACAATTGGTGATTATATTTTCGTTTAATTTTTTTCCATTGGGTCATTAATAAATTCAAAGAATATGATTAAATGTGGTCGGTGTGGGATGTTTAGAGATATAAAAACACTCTTCTTTATTAAACCAGTGAAGAGACCATTTCACGTGTGTCGTTTTTTAGCACCACTATTAGTGGAGCTACGGTTTATCTGGCATGCAGTCGCAGGAATACTGTTACCTGAGAAAGGTTGTTAAAAAGAAATAAGGTTTTCATCCTCGTTTTTAATCGTCATCATGACGGAACCACAAAATATGGCGGTTTCAGACTTTAAGTCACTGTCGCCCAGTACTGCACTAAGAGCTTGCTCCTCCAGAATCCACCTGCATGGATCCGTCTTCTACCTGCAGGTCTCAATCATTCTATTAACAGTTTCCTGTTTAAACCCGGGAACAATGAGCTTTTAGTAGCCGTGGGAACGGCTCACTGACACGGGTCAAACGACTCAGTAAACGACCTGTGGTAAAAATCCACTCGAATCTGATCGGTATGCTGTGGAAACACCAGACCCAGGTTGATCCGTTAAATAACGTGATGCCATTGAACGCAACATACAGACGTACCGAACCACGCAGGTCGCTTCTGACTTAACAAGCTGAAACAGAGTTTATACAGGAATGAGTAACTCTAATTTAAGGCTTTCTAATGCTCTTAGAAATATAGAATATATATATATATATATATATGGTGCAAAATCCTTGGTCATCTTTACCGTCGACAGGCTGCAGCCATGTTCCTCGTTTTTCATCCATGTTCGTTGAAATTAGCATTTTCCCAATTCTCTAGCTTTTTCTCCGCCTCTAGCTTCTTTTCCGAACATACGGCTTTACGATCAACCAGAAGCGGTTCCACACAATTATATTGCCATATTTTTGACAAAAGTGTTTTAGTAAACTTTTTTTTTTTTTTTTTAATAAAGCATTTCAAATGCCACTATAATCGCATTTGATGAATTTTAATGGCAATTAACTTAATTTAAAAGTAATAATAATTTAGTGACATCGAATGATTTAAATTGACCTGCGGAAAACCTATAAAACAATAAAACATGAAGCAGCTCTGGTGACATCATCAATGCTAACCCAGCGCGGTGCCGTCATTGCGGGGGGACAGACGCCACACAGGGGTTAGATCCAGCTTTCTTTTCCAGTGGGAATGGAGGCAAATGCTGAGTGTTAAAAGGTCGACCCATGTTTGAAAAACATGCATAAACCAAGTATTTTCTGTGGGAAAGAGGCAGCTAGCCAACTTGAAATGCATTACCGCTACCTAAAGGGCTTTTGTTAAAGGTAATGTGACCAAAACTGGGTTAGAGATTACATTAAAAATATAACGAACTGTTCAGAGCGGAACCAACTTTGTGTGGTTACAAGTTTCATGCTCTGAAACGAGCATAAAGGCTAAAGAAAACAGCTGGTGTTTAAAAGTCAGCAGCTGTTTGGTATGGAAAAAGGAGAGATTAAGAGAAAGGAATGATGAAGAGGAAGATATAAAGAGAATAAAGGAAAGACCTGGAAAAATGTATTTTGTTTTTTCCAACCAAGTTCCCCTGATACATTTTAGCTTCTTGCAGAAATAACATTCTGCCTTGACCTTTATCTTTAGTGTCTTATCATGTTATGTTGCAAAACCTCCAGCAGAAGGATCAATCTTATCAGGGCAGCCTGCAGGCGGAGCTTTACCTGTCCACAGGCGATGTAGATGGCAGCTACGATGTTTGCAGCGTGAGCGTTGAAGCCTCCAATGCTCCCGGCCATGGCTGAGCCCACCAGGTTCTTACTGATGTTCAGATCCACCAGAGCCGCCGTGCTGCTCTTCAACACCTAACAAAACATTTAAAGCAGCTATTAGGACAACATCTGGACAGAGCATTGGCTGAAATGAGCTTTGCTTCCTGTTTGATCTGATCCATAGGTGGACTCTTTACCTCCTTGACTACTTTGGCAGGGATGGTGGCTTCACACACTGCAGACTTCCCCCGGCCTAAGATCCAGTTAATAGCAGCAGACTTCTTGTCGGTGCAATAGTTACCGCTGACGGACAGAACCTCAATGTCTGGAAAGTGCTGCTTTAATCGAGACAGAGCCTGCTCCGTCCCCTGATGAAAACAGAGCAAACAGACACGTCTTCATTTAGGAACCACAGCATACAAAAACAATCCCGGTTCAATACCTTTGGTTGTCTATACACTACACATCAATCTGAACACACACTGCTGCAAAGACTGGGAGAATGAGGTGGAGGTTTGGAGTAAGGCTGGTTTATGCTCTAAGGAACCAGGTCGTCTGAATGTGTGTCGCAGTTAAAGCAGAAAGGCCCCGCCCCTTCTGCAGACACTCTGCTGCACCTCAAAAAATTGACTGCATACAGTCGGCTTGTTTTGTTTGTATGACCGCCATTGTGGAAAACGACTTGCTAGAAGAGCGAGGTGTGCGAGAAGGCTGGGACCCTTTTTTCCGCCTGGATCCCCGCTCTTCCCCGCCCTCATGTCCCTCTGTTGTCGCACAAACTCGCCCCACTTCCTCACCGCCTCGGCCGTATCTAGACCAACAGCTAGTTCCTGGTTGTCCCTCTTGCGTTGTAGCGTGGATTAACATAGCGCAGACAATTCTTCAATATTGGGCATAAATCAGAAATATCTGGGACAAGCTCACTGCGACACACTGCTGCGGGGAGGATAACCAGCCCTGTAGGCCGCCATTCGGCTGGCGTTTGACTGGGAAGGGCGACTTTTAATGGCTGCTGCTGTATCGCTAACAGAGCTACAAGTAGAACCAGCAATGTTTGCATGGTTTTTCTTTCCATTAAAGTTGACTGGATTCTTTCCACCTTAACAGAAAAATACTTCAGACAACCTTAAGATGTTGTGTGATTTGTTTGGCTCATTTGTTTTGCATTATTAAACAAGCATTGTGTGATTCTGTTGAGAAGCATGTTGAGACGGATAAAAATAGCTTTTATGTCTTAAATGTTCATGTTTTTATCCCAATAGTCTTGGAAAGGGTTTCAAGTTTGAAATGCTAGCATCAATCATCCCTCTGCAACTGAGACGATCTTCTCTTCTTAGTTTCCATGTTTGCAGGGTGTTGAAAATCCCAAATGTTGTGTTTTGGTAAACCTAGGATCTGTGTTACGATTGGCTGAGAAATCGGGATGCAACAGTTCCCGACCGTACCTCTAGGTGCAGAAGGAGAAAAGCTTGACTGCGGCACTGAAAAATGATTTTAGACCATTTTACAGTAAATCTCTCACTTTTTTTCTCCTTTTAAGTAAAAAAAAACCATATTCACATATGAATAAAAAACCTTAAAAGTGCTGTTGAAAAGTTCAGAGGGGGTGAACACTTAAATAATGGACTGTTGTGAGGTAGTGATGCTAAAGCAGAGGCTCAGCCATGCTGAGTGTTTGGGTTTACCTTAGACAGCATGTTCATGCCCATGGCGTCCCCCGTCTGAGACTGGAAGCGAACATAAAGGTTTCTTCCAGCCACAGACACCAACAGTTTCTCCAGACGAGCAAACCTGCAAAGAGCAAACATTTATTTTCAGATGAAAGAAACTCAATTCCTCCATTTTTTTTTTCTTGGTCCTGCTGCTTCCATCTCTCTTTCTCACCTGCTGGTCTCATCGAAGGCTTCTTTGACCATGCTGAATCCATCCGAGGTCTCCAGCCAGATTTTGACCTCTGCAGCCCGGCATGCAGAGGGCAGCCTCACCACAGGACCCCTGGTCATGCTGTCGGCCAGGATCCTGCTGTTGCAGCCTCCGCTCAGCTGCACAGGAAGGACGCTACTGTCAGCACACGCCTCACACTCACAACCAGGGTTTGTTTCACCAGGGAGGGGTCCTGCTTACCCAGATCGCCCTGCAGCCTCTGTTTGTGCTGGCCACCAGGCAGCCCTCGGTGGTCGCCATGGGGACGTGGAACTGCTGCTTGTCCAAAAGCAGAGGGCCAGCCACTCCCACTGGCACCGGCATGTAGCCGATGACATTCTCACAGCAGGCGCCCATCACCTACAGAACAAGGACGCACAATGATACACGGAGCGGCAGCTGAGGAAACATTTTATATGCCGAGATAGAAACACAGGAGGTAGATTAGATCCGATACTGAAGAGGAAAGTTACTTTGAGTACGAGGTCATCCAAAAATACCTTTGAATAGTCGTAGTCTTTGTAGGGGAGATAAGCCAGAGCAGAGCTGACGGGCAGTTTAGTCGACAACATTTCCCGCCTAATGGCCACGCCCCTTTCTGGAGTCTCCAGGACTCCTTCCAGTTTGTAGTTCTGGATCTTAGACAAGCTCACCAGGTTCATCACCTCGGCATCCGTCAGCATTTTAGGACCTCTCTGGAAAATTCATCATACAAAAAAATTTTCTGTCATCAAACAGATTCATTAGAAAAACAGGATTAAAGTCATTAAAGTCGTCGTTCCAACCGTTGCAGTCCCGAATTCTCCTGAGTGGTGCACAACTTTTAACGAGTGACTAAAGTGAATGTGATTGGTCGTTTATCCAGAGGGCGGGATTGTTGTGGTGGAAGGTTCACAAGCAAGTTTGATTGTGGCCGGTTTCTTGGAAACATCTTGATAACTAGTTAGCAGCTTAGTGCTAGTAGGTTCCCAATGGGAAATTCCATTGGGACCAAGTAGCACTGAATTGGTGACTTAGAAACGACACTGTCAAGGAACGCTATGGACAGCGGAAACATGCAAGAGGAAGAGAATTTAGTGTTGGAGGTCGTAGATGAGTCTCCTCTGTCATACATTTTTTATTTAGAGGAGGAAAGCGGGCACAAAGTTGTTGTGGAAGAGGACGCCAGGGCGGCAGAAGCTTGGTTTGGTGTAGAAGGCTTACAGCCGTACATGTTTGAGCCCTTGCCTGCAACGCTGCCAGTTCTGTTAGCTCTACGCCTGCTGAAGACACAGACGTCCATCCCCGTGAACACTGGGACGGAACTCAATGGGAAAGTAAATGATTCTTATTTGAATGGTTTCGTATATTAGCTGCAACATATGAATCGAGATGCTATGACCCAAAAAATGTGATTGACAGATGACTGTTGATATAATTGGCTGAATTAGGTGAACAAGCTGACGTATAACTAACTGGCCTGCATAAGATAATAAAAAAAAACAAAATAAAACACACATTTTAAGACAGGATTTTTTTTTTTTACATACATTTTCTAACTTTTGGGACAATAACATCTGATAAAAAGTACATTTATAAACATGTTTAAGCGAGAATGATTTGAAATTTAAATATGACTTCCCTATGACTTTAAAGTACGATGTGGTAAATCACCTGAGGATCTGAGAGGATGGCCAAACATTCCTCCACTGAGCGCAGTTCTGGTCCACAGCTTGGAGGAGCACTGCCTGCCTGATCAGAGCTCTCCTCCAAAAAGTCGCAGTGTTTCTCTTCCATTGATTTTGTTACGTCTGCAGAAGAGAAACCAGTTAGATGAAGGTTGATTTTAATCAGACATCAACTGGGATCAAAGGGAGTTACAGTATTCGTACAAATGGATGCACTGGTTGCAAAATGTTTCACATGTCAACAGGAATTGGAAACAAATGAACTTTGGCCAAAAAACTATAGATTTGGATAATAAAAACACTACAGCGCCTGGAGTCTGAATCACTCTGCGATTAACACCCATAAAGGACATTCTGATGATCATGTTTCATTTGTTGTTTTAATGAGGTCTGATGAGGATCAGGTAGAAAACTCAGAAAAAAAGAAAAGAAAACTTTGATCATTTCCACACGGCTGAAGCTTCATATTAAGCTGATGTGGTTTATTTCAGAAATAAAGGTCCCATGTTATTTTGACACAAATAGACGGCTGTAAATCAGCAAATCTATCTAAATGATCAAATATCATGATTACAATTATATCAACTCACAGAAAGTTATTTATTTCTATGCTGTTTAAAATCAACAGCTTTGTAATTGTGGAAAAATAATAATTGATCACCTGTTCTATGGTCTTCTGCCCTGTGAATTTCAAAATAAAATCGATGGATGGCTGCATTACACCAAGTAGTTTCTACTCTGTACTGGGGCTGGATAATATGGACTACAAGTAACATCTCAACATTTTTAAACTGATATAAATAATACATATCTTTAATATATTGGTTTATAAAGAGTCGCCTCTGGATTAGCCTATCTAGGAACTCTGGACAGGCTTAATGGTGTCCCGTCTAAATGGACATTTATTATGTCCTAGAAGGGCTGTTTATATATATCAAAAATAAAAACAGTCTTTTCTTTCTTTAAAAGGAGGTTTTTATATCACATCTGTCGTTATCCGATTGGTTCTAACCAGGGCTGCAACTACCGATAATTTTGCAAATTAATTAATCTGTCGATATTTGATTTTTAATGACATTAAACAGGTGAAGCTAAACTTTTCCTCTTGAGATCTGGATAGAGCATACTGACAGATGAAAAATAATTTTTTTACCCAAATGCAATATTATTCTATATTTTTTTTTACTGTTTTCATATAATTACTGCTCTAAGTGGTTTGCTCTGTCAGCTAAGTGCATGTTTTAGAGTTTCTATACTCCAGTTAGCGATTAATCGATTGCAAAATTAGCCGACGATTATTTTAATCATCAATTAATCACGATTATTCCAATTGTTTCAGCTCTAGTTCTAACCAACTTCCTCTGACTCTAAGTGAATCAGGCTTTACCGGCTCCTTTCCAGACCAACAAGGTGTAAATTAGTCTGACCAGTCAGGCTACCTATAAATCTAAATATGTTCTATCAAACAGCTGTAAATAAACATGATTCTGTCTAAAAGGGCTGAAAAAGAACCTACTGGCATTCATAAAGGTAGAGTTATATCACAACAAAAGCCATCTTTATATAAACCGTCAATTTATCGTCCATTTCTTTTGTAATCTTTTTTTTTTTTTTTTTTTACAAATATATATATATATATATATATATATATATATATATATATATATATATATATATATATGTATATATATATAGCCCAGCCGTACTAGGTACGCCTCACCCGTCTCATCCTAAAGCTACAAATCCTACAACTTACATCTAGAGCAGATTTTAAACAAAAATATCTTTAACCTTCATATCTCCCAAGTTTTCTACAGATGCACTGATTCTATGTGTACATAGTTATTAATAAGCACTTTAATTTAGGTATAAAACAAAATATTATTCCAATTCAAAAACCTTAAATTCCTCATTCAAGTATTTTAGTATTTTATATGTTATGATTTAATACCAAACAGCAGCCTGCTGCAATGTTTCATTCCGAGAGTCGCCTCAGGTGTTGGAAGTGAATAAAAACAAACGAAAATCAGAAAAAATTAAAATCACAGAAATTCTAAAAGTAGGTTTGGGTGTTAAGCACTACAACAAAGTAACAACAGAAAAAAAAAACCCCACCTGAGGAACAAGCACTGGTTGCTAAGACGTCGGTTGAGCTTCTCTGGGGTTTGGGAGCCGACTGGTCCCTCCTGCAGCAGTCCTCTGCAGCGCGGGGCTTCTGGATCTGGGAGGCGGCGTTGATTGGACCCCTGAGAGACAGGGAGGACTCTGTGTCCGCTTGCTCAAAGAAGACGTATTTAACAGCCAGAAGAAGCGCCAGACTGAGGGTTATCACGTGCTCCAGTTCCACGCTGGTAGGAGGAGACAAAGCGGACATCACAGCATATGTCAGACATGAATAAATACCTCATAAATCAACATTCGGTTCGTTTTTTTGTTTTGTTGTTTTTTTACCTCGTGACTTTCTGAGGCCACACGGTACCGGCTGATTCCAGCCTCTCCATCGGCCCCTCTACTGTACGATTGTGAGCTGCGTGCTCGGCTGTTAAGCGAGTGAGGCCGTGGACCAAGGCCAAACCAAGAGACTGAAAGATGCAACGTAAAATGGACACGATAAGACTGCAAAGTTTGTAGAGAAAGTAACAAAACCTAATTTTAGGCAGAGCTGGATGTAGAGAAATGACACAGAAATGACACAGTCACAGTCTGAAATAGTTTTTCCTTTGGTACCAGGACTGAAAGCAGTGGATCGCTTTTAGACAACAGGTGACCGATACAGCGCTTTTTCTAACTGACTGACGGGATACAATGTGTTTATAAAATTATCTTAAAGCAAGGTCCATCTGCTAAAAATTTTTTTTTAAAAATCTCTGATCTTTGCGCTTCATCGTCAAAATGATGAAAAATTACGGAGCAGACTCAAGGTTTCAGCCGTTTGGGATCATTTTGATTTTATATTTGTTTTAAATGTCCTCATTGCGTCATCCTGTTCCTCTCAGTTATCTCTCAAATCATCTGAACTTAAGTTATTTCAAATTGTCTCTTAGTTTATCGTTTTCTGTAGTTATTATTTTAAATATATATTTTTAATCCTAGTCAACAACCATCCTCATTCACAGGTTCACATTAATTATTGGCTGCATCTAATAACATCAGAGATATTTTCAGTTTAAACGTAGATATGAAATACTACAACAACTTTAATTATATTACTGTTCTAGGTCATCAGATCAATTTAGTTTAGTCTGTAAAACAGGCTGCCTGTAGTGTCGTTAAAAGTCCAGCAGGTGTCAGTATTCTGCAACACAGCTTAGCAATGTGTCAAAAAGCTTCACGAGGCCTCATCACCCCATCACTAGTTCTCACCATAATGATTTTAACCCTTTGGGTGACAGGATTGGGCTTGTTATCTTCTTCCTCAGCCAGAACATGAGCCAGGTGGCTCATCTGCCAGATGGGCCGGCCTTCACGACTCTCCCTTGATAGCTTTAAAGCAGAAGGAGGAACAGTTAGACGATTTCTCTCATTCTCATTGTTAGATGAACATTTATTTCTGAAGGAACCTTTAGGCAGACGCTCACCTCCAGCACTAGAGAGACACACGCTGGGAAGAAGGTCATAAAGACAAAGTAGTTGGCCAGAACAGACATGCAGCCGAAACAGCACATGATCTCCAACTGAGGAACGCCTGGAAAAAAATAAAATAAAATAAGAAAAGAAGGGTTTAATAGTTCAAAAAGGAAACAGCTTTTTAGGTAAAAAAAAAAAAAAAAGAATAAATAAAAAAACAAACAAATCTTACCTGACATGGTACCAACTCCTATAACCAGACATTCAACAAGTGCATCCAGGGTGAATGTGGGGCCTAGGATAGCCATGCCTTTAGATATGTTCTCCCTCACCTCCTCCTATGCAGAAAAAAAACAAACAAAAACATATAAGACCGGATTTTTATAGCTGAATTAACGTTAGCTGTAATAAATGAAGTTAGCATTCAGAAACAGCAACAGATTTAAAGCACTACCTGAGAGTTGGAGCTGAGGGCAAATTTAGCCAATGTGCATGCTTTGGAAAGGTCGATGAGCAGGAGAAAGAAGGGCAGAGCTTCACTGCAGGGAAAGAAGGAGCAAAGCTCAGTCCAGGATGAATAGAACAGGCTGAAGTTTGCTTTTAAAATCTGTTAAGTTCTTCAACAATTACAATGAAATACACTCGAATCTCTGATGAATTGTATTCCAATACGTCTCATTTCCTAATGCTACGATCACACCAGACACGCTTTGAGCAGCAAAAAAGCGCCTGCTGCTTTGTTTTTGATGCTTGTATATATTAAGATCAGACGTGCCTCAAGAGCATCTTTGCTGCTCCTGAAGCCTCATCCAGTAAATTGTGTCCAGATGCATTTGATGATCATCTGTTCAATGACAGAGAGCGGCTTTGCTATATTTGCTGTTATAAGCTGGTAAAATGTAGTTTAATGTATTTTTATGTGAGAAAGTCCAAATCAAGACATTGTCTGTGCAGTCAGTTCATCAAGATTACAATCATGTATTAAAGTATTAATTTGCAGTTCATGCAGCTCAGACCCCCACATAGCGGTGGTGCACTGTCACTGGGAATCCCCAGCAGCAGCTGCCTCAGGCCAGGTTTCATCAGGAAGTAGATGTTAGCCTTTTTTCATGTATGTGGTAAAAAATGCTCACACCAGAATAATAAAAGTGAATACATTTTGCCAGCAGGTTTCGACATTTTAAGTTAATTTAGGCCTTAATAAACTGTTTCAGGAAAGTTGGCGTTATTTCTGGTTGACGGGCATCAAGGTGCAGCAAAGGGCCTCGCAGCACGTTTAAAGCAGCAGGAGCAGTGCGTCATGAGCTTCTGACACACTGCAAATGGAGCAGCTGCTGGAGTTGGAAAAATTGGGCTTCTGCTGCTCAACGCACCACATCAACCAATCAGACAAGCTGATCTGGGAGCTGACAGGGACACAGACACATTGCTGATGATACAGATCACTACAATCACTCCTCTGAAACAGTTTATTAATGCTTAAATTAACTTGCAATCTGCTGGCAAAACATCTTCACTTTTGTTATCCTGGTGCCTGCAGTTTGGATTACGTACATGAAAACCGCTTTCCAGCTGCCGCGGCAAATCGCGAATAGGCGACCAGGCCAGAGGCTGCTGTTGAATGGGATTCCTACTGACAGCACACAGCTGGTATGTGTGGATCTGAGCGGCTCCGACGGAAACAATATTTGAAGGGAGGATGGTAATCTGGATGAACTGACAACACTGACCATGTTTTCAGGCGGACTTTCTCACCTCAAAATAGATTCAAACGACTTTTTACCCACCAATCACAGCGAATATAGCTGCCATTGTTACAGGCAAAGAAAGTATAGAGTAGCTCCGCCCAACATGCATCATACCCACTTTCCACAGCGCAGCTGGAGCAGCAAAGATGCTTCAGCCATGCGTCAGAACTAAACTTGTAAAAGCATCAAAAATGAAGCAGCACGTGCATTTTTGCTGCTCTTGCTGCTTGCGATCTGAACGTAGCATAAGGCCTCCATATATGGGTCGTGTGCACCCACCACTGTGCCACCGAAGCACGCCCAAAATATGAGCATTTTAAAGCCATTTTGTCATTTACAATTTTTTTTTCTGCTTTTGTTGATCTACCAGATAACATTCCTCTAATGCAGACTTATATTTTTGCCTACCATATGCCTAAGTTTATAACCATTCAAAGGTAATAACACTTTTCTAACTCACTGAACATGTAATTAAAAGGTACACTTACTTCAGACCTGTCAGCTCTTTCCCAAAGAAGTGGATAACCACTGTACTAAAAACAAAGCTAGAAAATACTGTAAACAATCCGGCAATACCTGCAAATACAAGAGGAAAAAAATATATATATCACTTTAATGTTAACCAAAACAGTGTGTGATTGATTTAAACAGGAGTTAGGTTATGCAACCGGCAGCAGTCGGTTATTTTGACAACCTGTCATCATACTGACCCAGAATATATTTGGATCCCAGCTGTAAGAGGTTCTTAAACTGGAAGTAGATATAAATAATGGCCATGCAGCGAGTGATGGTCAAACTGATGATATCACTACTGGGGACTTCCTGAAAGAAAAACACACAAGCTTTGATGTTAGAGTTATGGAAACAAGGTATGATCTTCCAAACATTACAATCACACCTGTCTCACCTCTTTCACCTTGGGGCAGTTATCCCAGCTGCACATCTGACTGCTGGTGGAGAAGCTGTTCATGTTCATGAGGCAGATGGTGACGGCCAGGGTCCCCACGATCACCTCCCACGGGTGGGAGGCCACCAGCAGGCCGTGGAGCCGAAAAAGACGGGCCAGCATGATGCTCTTAAGGGTGTCTGCTTGTTAAAGCTCACTGCTTCATCTGTGACGTTAAAATATCACTTCAAAACAAACTGACGGGGTCTAGATAAATGTTAAAAAAAAGTTCTATGCCAAAATATAGCAGCTGACGCAGCTAACATAAATGTACATAGAAAACCAACTGAATTTACACTTTAAATCAGACACAGAGCTACTGTTAGCATTAGCAATATTAGCTGTCACACCCGGGACGTCTAAAAAACCTCTTACAAGGTTAAAGCTTATTTAACACCCTTCAATCGTCATGCTCGGCGCCATTATGACTTCTACATAACTCAACGGGGATTTCTTACCGTGGTCAGAGGGTTCTTCTCATAATAGTGACAGCTCTGTCACTGGACTGATGTAACGGCACACCAAACCAACATGGCGACCCGGAAGTGCTGATCGCATATCTGTGTCGTCATTGCTGGGACGTGACGGGGCGGGGCTAAAAGCAAAATAAATTACGCATTTTTTTTTATTTCTAAGCAATTTTCTCTGTAAAATTATAAAGGAAATACATATCGAAATTCATTTTTTATTTACTTTCTTTTTTTTTAGGAAAAGCCAATTTCCACGCCACCTGCGCCTCGGCATTACTACCGTACGTAGTAAAATTTCTACTGCCGTCTATAAAAATCATCATTGTATGTTTGTTTTAATTAAAAATTTCATGTTACACTGCTTACAAATCTATGAGTGTTCTGTATTATGACTGTAGGACGCAATATTACTTAAACTGTAGCGTGTTATTTTCACTTAAAAATAAAGAAAAAGATAAAAATCTATTAAAATCTGTGACTAATTTGATAAAATGATAATAGCTAAAAAATTTAATTTTTGAACTTTCAGAATCAAAAGTTTTAAGAATTAATATACGATTAAAGCCAAATAAAAAACTGTTTTTCCAAGGTTTGGAACAGTAAAAGAGGGGGGGAAAATTATTTAACTTTAATGTATGAAACTGGCCTTTGGAAAATGAATATTCAGGAACTTCTATTTAAAAAAAATGAGGGGGAAAGCTTCTAAAGAATCAAAAAAAAAAAAAAAAGAAAAGAAAAAAAAAAAAAAAAAAGAATCGGTAGCAACTGAGCCCAACTGGGACCCCAGAAAAGGTTGCTTCAATAGCTGTACATCATTACAGGTGGTTTAACCTCACAGTAAATGCAAAACTAGACTTTTCAGACTATATTCACACATTCTGTTTGTAACTGTATGCTAATAATACGCATAAATAAAGTAAATAAAATGTGTACTTGCAAAAAAAACTTAGGTGCATTTTTATGAACTGCTTTGTTTAAGTTTCACAAATTCTTAAATACTATTGAAATGTATTCTGAAAGAAAGAAAACTCTATTTCAGCAAGGTGTATCAGGTTATTTATTGGTAAGTGCTGCTGAAGAAAGGTAGAGCAAGACATTCCCTAAATCTAAAAGGACTCAAATATCAAATTGCATACAAAAGAAAATAAGAGAAATGCCTGTTTTTATATGTTTCTTACATTTTTGTAATCATGAATGTATCTTAGCATTTAATGACATGTAGTATTTTGGCCACTAGAGGGTTCAAAGTTCCTCTGCTGCTCACTTTCAAGCTCTTCACAATCAGTAGATGGGATCTTAAAAAAGAAACAATAATAATGTTGTGTGCTGTAAACAGGACTAAGACACCTGTATTGAAATCTAACTCCTTTGTCCAGTTCCTAATCTTAAACTCTTATTTTATTTATACTGCATGGAAAAGAATTCAACCTTCCAATTTTCCCACAGTCAGCCCTCCTGCAGTGAAACCTGATGGTGGCAGCATCACACTGTGCGTAGTGGTCAGAGGTTATAGGAAGATTTTAGCAATTGTTAGAAGCTGGAGATTTTCACCATTGGCTAAAGTTTCACATTGTTAGGATTATTTTTATTCATATGTGTGCCTCTGTTAAACCCTAATATTGCCTGCCTGTGTACAGTTATTATGTTCATTATGTACATAACATAATGTTGAAAACCCCAAAGACAGAGGGGCAAAATAACTGTCATATACTAAAAAGTTTTGGTTTGACTCTACATGACAGCCAACACACATACATGGAAATATTATAGACCTGCTCATTATCAAAGATGAAAATATTTCTAATATTTCTGTAAGTAACTCACGTTGTACTATAAGACGATTTTTCTCTTTACTTTGAAACCATTGTCCCACGGATCCAATTACCAAAAGAAATGTTATAGGAAACCCAGTTATCATGGACAGTGCAATTAATAACGTCACCCAGGCTTACCCTTCTGCTTCTACTGTACACTGTAACTCAGCAGATGAGTTGCTTGATAGTTTCCATTCTAAAGTTGCAGACATCATTGGTTCTATTGCTCCAGTTAAGGTTAAAGGGAGCGCCGAAAAGCCGAACAAAGGTTGCGAAAGAATGGATTCCAAGTTCACTATGAAATCTTTAATAAGAAACTTCACAGACATAATTCACAGATAAAAGATGCAAGAGAATCTTAGTTCTCTGATGTTATCAACGAAAACATTAAACAATGCTTGCGGCACAGTTGACAAATTAACAACCCCTCCTATCTCTGCTGCTGATGAACTGCACACTTAAAAGGCCTGCAATGACTTTGCAAATTCTTTACTGAGAAAATACAGGGTATTAGAAAAGCAGCTGCGCATCAACACCAACTCCAGTACCAATACTGTCTCAAGTTAAAATAAACTCTGTTAAAATGCCCCGATTCTTCCCACTGAATTGCAAAAGTTTAGAAGATGTTATTAAAGGAATAGTACACCCAAAACATGATTAGCCTTCATTTTCTACTCACCCCCATGCTGAACAACACTCTGGAGTACATGCGCGCTCCCGACGCTACGGAAGCCGGCAGACCAAACCAGCGCATTCAGCTCGGCAAAGAACTCATGCTCTTCCTCAACACTGAAGTCCTCAGACATTTTTCTTTCGTTGTTTCTTTCTTTGCACAGGTAAACAGCACATTTCTTCTTCTACGCTTGCATTATCGGCAGAGCAGACGCTGAATGCGCACTTTCTTCCGGTTTGGTCTGCCGGCTTCCGTAGAATCGTGAGCGCGCATGGGGGCGCTATTAGGAAATCCTATACACTACTGTTTATGCTCTAAAAACATTCTAAATGACTTTGTTTCGAGTAAATTCTGGATGCTACCAACTCAGGACACTTGGATTACATTGGACGAGCAGTATGGAGGAATATTGACACGTTTTTGTGGACCTTTCTGTCTCGGGCACCATAGACCTCCATTATTTGAATGTCAGCAGACAGCAAGAAGCCTCCCAGATCTCCAGATGCATTTGAGATATCAAAAAAGTACTCCAGAGTTTTGTTCAGCATGGGGGTGAGTAGAAAATGAAGGCTAATCATGTTTTGGGTGTACTATTCCTTTAAAAAGGTTTCACCTGTTTTAGAGTCTGATTTGATTCAAATGATAAGCACGTTCCTTATGTTGGACTTATTATACTTGCTGAAAAAGGCACTTTAAAATAAACATTAGATAATGATCTTAATGTTTTCTAGCAATTAGTCTAATATGAGTTGTTTTAAACAAAAAAGTACTGCAGTGTAGCAAGTAACAAGGTAACAGGGTTGGATTAACGATAACAGTTAAATGATTTTGAATTTTCTTTAAATCTTTAAACAAATAAGATGGAAGGAAACACAAAAATACTAGATATGTCATATTTAGGAATTGTGTCCAAATAACGTCACAGATTAAAACGGATCTGTTTGATGAATTTAAATCTCATGGGTTTGAATCAGCGCTGGACTTGGACAAGCTTTTGGCCTTTTGAGCAGAGGCAGGCTTACCAGGTTTGGATAAAAACACAGTAAAACCTACAAATGGAAACAAAACTTTCTTGTGAGGAGTACATGAACATGTCATGACGGTTTTAAGAGATCTGACCCACATGCAGAAAACCACTCAGAGAAACCAGAGAAAAGTTTAACAGGTTTATTGAGGAGTTCAAAGGGTTGGATTCCGGGGAACCCAGAGAGCTGGTAAACCGGAAAAGGAAGTGAGAAGGGAAGTTCACTGAGGTTGGTTCAGGGTCCGTGGGAACAATGAACAACGTCTTGCAAAAACAGAGATAAACGGGACTCACGATTGCAGAGAAAGGTTTCTTCCCTGAATCCAGTTGCTGCGGGTTTTTCCTGAGACAGGGGCTCGTTGGAGGGCGGACAGGTTTTTGGTTCTGTTGGTTCATGAGGAGCAATGGAGCGGACTGCCACTTAGATTTCCTGGAGAACTTGAACGGGACGTGTGGAGATGGATCCCCTGCTCAGTGTGAAGCTCAAACAATCCTTCCACGGGGAGAAGGCCAAACATCTAGTATGCAGGATGACTTCCTACCGAAAGGTAAAGACAAAAATCATGTTGGACTCAGAAACAAAGACTCAGTTAGACTCAGCTAAACTCAGCTAAACTCAGCTTGGCTAGAGTACCCAAAACTGGCAAACACTCTGGCGTCAAAGTAGTGGCAGTCCACTGCTTAAGAAGTACCCAGTAATGAGCCAACCAGCCACAGGTGTAAGGGAGGACCAACGAGAACAGGGCGCCCCCTGGTGGTGGAGGGGGAAAAACACAAAAACACAACCCACACAGACTGGATTCCTAACAGATCAATGTTTTTTTTTTGAGTTTTGGTTTAAAAGTTAGACCCCCCCAGTCCTGTTATCTTATGAAAGCTGCTTGTTCTGGCTTACTAAGAAATAAAATATATTTATTTATGACTGTTCCGTTAAAGGAAAGCTCTGTGTTTAAACCTTGAAGCTTTCTTTCTCCGGTTCTGTTTCCAGAAAAGAGATCATTCTGGACAAACTCTTTAAATAACTTTTCATAATGTATATGCATTAAATAACCATGAGATCAGGAGAAGTTGCTTTGGGTTACACAAGGCAGCTGCTTACCATTCAGTCTCACTTCTCATTGAAGTGACCCCAATAAACAGTTAGAGAAGCATTTTATACAATTCCAGTCTGCCACATCATCACATCATTACATCATGCACGTTAGCAGATGAGGAGACATCCATGGCTCCAGCCTTATCCAAATATTACACTTGGTTCTTAGCTGAAGGACACCGCTCTCATTCCATTCCCAAATATTTGCCACATACTAAATGAAGATTATAACTGTATATTTGGACAGAGGAATTGTCTCAATTAGATAAACTACTGGGAAAAACATCAGTTCTGACACACAACATGCAGCTAATATTAGGGTGTATTAAGCTCCCACATCATCAATGATAATTATCAGTTCAATGGTTTAATATCAAATGATATTACGATGATATGGCATTAATAATTGAGGTAAAAGGGCTGCCAGACAACATGGTGACAAACAATACTAATTTACAGAATGGTCATATTACAATTATGTAAGAAAA